GGTTTTATATTTAATTTGATTACATTAATGTTATAAGTTGAGATTTACAATAAATATTTTAACTGCTACTATATCAAAGGAATACTGCTGTAAGAAAGCACCTTATTTGTTTAAAGTGTTTGCAAACAAAATGTTATTGCACTTTTGTTCATATAGCAGTACTTTTAAATGAAAAAAAAGTGTGCAATACACTACTTTTGAATTCGTTATTGAATTTTGTGCATAATGCGCCTATATTTCTGCTGGAGTTTCCTTGTCTAGACACACGGCATCTTTGATTCTATCAAATACCAACACATAAAAAATCAATAAGTGACTGACTCTGTTAGAAATCTTATAATGGGCTATAATGGGTTTGGATCTTCCAACCGGACAATAATCCAAAAACAAACCTTGAAAACAACACAAAAATGGGTCACTGGGCACAAAACCAAGTTTCTGCCCTGGCCATTCCAGTTCCCTGACCTGAACCCTATAGAAGATGAGTGTGGTGAACTGAAGAGGAGAAGCTGGGAATCTGAAGGGTCTGGAGTGATTCTGGATGAAGGAATGGTCTCTGATCTCTTGTCAGGTGCTCTCTAACCTCATCAGGCATTATAGGAGAAAACTCAGAGCTGTTATTATGCCAAATGGAGGTTTCAAAAAGCCGTGTGTGTCCAATGTGTATTAGAGAAAAACATTTATGTCATAATGATATTTCCCCCCATTTTAAATTCTTATTCTCCAATGAAAGGTTAGATTTATGTGAATTTTTTAAATAAAAGTTCAAAATGATTAACAATGCAGATTTATTTTCACAGCCTTCTTTGATCATATTTACCAAGGGTGCCAATAATTCTGACCACGACTGTACATATATATTTTTGTTTTTTTTTATCTGACTCGTATATAATATATTACATGCATGCACATTTTTAAGGCAGCTTTAAATCGCCTTTTTGGTAACTTCATGACTTAACCGACCATGACACTGCATGCACGTAGTTTCATTCGTGCTTTGATATGAAACGATAAAGGCTACAGTGCACACCGACGCCTTTGTGCGTGCAATTGAAGAGCACGCACTCCGCTCCCATTTGATGTGCTCGTAAAGACGTTCTGCGACTAAATAAATGCACTTCTTGTTATTAGAATAAGTGAAGCAGCACTTGTGAGTGGGGTGGCCAACCCTAGCCCCGCCCCTGCGGTAATTGCATTAAATATTTTTAACGTGTTAAACTGAAAAAATGTATCGTCTGCGTTAACGTGCTAATTTTGACAGCACTAATATATATATATATATATATATTTTTTTTTTTTTACACTGAATTTGCAGCTGTATATTGACTGTCTTGTACTCACCAGCCTCCTTCCTGTTTGTCCACGTTCTGAATGATGGCGTTCTTACTGAAGGAAAGTTCATCATCGCGCTGGGCTTTGTATTCATACATGGCTCGTACTGTGCACTGCTCACACACACACACACACACACACAGGACCGTCACACACTAAACCGAACAGTACCAGAAACACGCTGCACATGCAGAGAGAGCAGAGGTACCTTAAACGTGGGCATCTGATTGGCTTCCACATAGAATCCAGGGTTACGGCCCTCATACAGAGATCCATAATCAGGCTCCTGCACGCAGACAAGAAGAGAAAGAGCTTTCACTCAAAAACCGCCTGACCGTAAGGTCTAACGAACAATTAATAGGTACATTTGTAAACCAAAACCACAATAATACACAGATCTAGCGCCAAGAAAGACTGTAAAGGAAAAGAGTCACTTCTCTCACACTTAAAACAAAATGATCAATTATTTCTTGGATGTACAGATGTGCTCAAGGATCTCTCTAAATAAATTCAAGCACTGGCTGAGGCCAGATTCACAAGACATTACGAATAAAATTATTCTTAATTGTCATTTTCTTATTTTCTAGATTATTCTCCTTTTTCTATATTGTAATCCAAAATATGCTTAATGTTTATATCTTTTTTTGTTACTATTTAGACAAAACGTAAAAAATTCAAATTCTTGAAAAGAACTTTCTTAAAAAAACATCATAAATTTCTTAAAGTTGGGATAACCTCAAACCCAAAAGTAAGGTACTTAAATTTATTGTGATGCATCAAATTTTTTTTCTTTGTAATTAAGCATTACAAAACAATAACTTCATATAATATTACTATGTGCACAAGTGCTCTGAAGTCACACAGATTATCAATCTGAACACAGTTAACGGTCATGATTATGCATGACGTAACTTTTTGGATTTGAGATTCAGTAACAACTCTATGAAAATGTCAAATAGAGACCTTGTTTTTCAGTTTGTAATTGTTACAGCATAAATTTATTCTTTCAGCACGATTATTTTCAGGGACCAATTCTCACTATTAACTATGACTTTTGCCTCAAACTCCTAACTTGCTGCTTATTAATAGTTAGTGAGGTAGTTGTTATAGGGTTAAAATACTGTCATTAATTACTCACCGTCATGTCGATCCAAACCCTTAAGACCTTCGTTCTTCTTCAGAACACAAATTAAGATATTTTTGATGGATTGTGAGAGCTCTCTGACCCTCCATAGACAGCAAGGTAACTACCACGATCAATGCTCAGAAACATAGCAAGGACAACGGTTAAATAGTCCATGTGACATCAGTGGTTCAACCGTAAAGATAACAAAAATAACGACTTTATTCAACCATTCTTTTAGAGAGTATCACATCGCATGCGCGCGCTTTCCCCAGAACGTAATCAACGCATTTCAGTTGCATTGCTCTCTACAGAGGGTCAGAGTGCTCTCGGATTTCATCAAAAATATCTTCATTTGTGTTCTAAAGATGAACGGAGGTCTTACGGGTTTGGAACGACATGAGGGTGAGTAATTAATGACAGAATTTTCAAGTTTAGGTATGGGGTGGTCTTGCGGAGTAAGGCATTACTATGTGCTTTATAAGTACTAATAAACAGCCAGTATGATAGTAGTATGCATGCTAATAAGCAACTAGTTAACAGTGAGAATTGGCAACTTATTTTCTAAAGAAAATATTCAAGAACTTAATTTTTTCAAGCTATATTTAGGGACGAATTCTTAGAAGTTATCTTCAACATCTTTCTTCAGAAGATTTTCGATTTGCACCTGTACCCTGTGACTCCCGGAAACTGCGTAAAACCAGCCAATCGCATTAGAGCTGTGGGGATCTCAGCCAGAGCTGATCAATTTCTGTGTGCAGTCTGAGGCATACACTTGCTCTCTAGATGCTAATTATAAGCTAACCGCATTCGGAGAAACTCATACGCACCAATCACAACAAACAGCTGAAGGAAGTAAACTAAACACGGGCGCCTCTCACAAACACTTATTTTAACAGCAATCAAACTGAACCAATCAGAGTGAGACAAATCAAGATTTCAGTATGCATGCCGTCAGATCTGCTACATGTATTGCAAGTCCAGATTTTAAGTTTCTACTAGTGCTGTCAAACGATTAATCGCATCTAAAATAAACGTTTTTGTCTACATATGTGTGTGAAATGTGTATATTTATTATGTATATATAAATACACACATATACAGTATATATTTAGAAAATATTTACATACATATATTTATATTCATACAATTTAATTAATATATAAATATATTTAATATATAAACAAAACATATTTTTGTTTAAAATGTACATGCATGTGTGTCTATTTATATATACGTATAATAAATATACACAGTACACACACATATATTATGTAAACAAATACTTTTATTTTAGATGCGATTAACCGCGATTAATCGTTCGACAGCACTAGTTTCTACATGCGAGTTGTTCACCAGTGAGTGGTTTGAATTAATCATCTAATTAGTTCCCAAAATACTAAACAATCATCCATCCTCAGTACTGTAGATTATAATTTTCTGTTGCATGATAATATCATTGTTGGTTGCATAAAATACCGTATTGTCCCGAATATAAGACGATGTTTTTTTCTTGGAAATTCATCTGAAAAAACGCGGTCGTCTTATATTCAGGGTCTAGACTTTGACATGTCAATAATACACCAGCAACAACAGGTGGCGCCAAATACGCATAAAACAAGTGTGCCATGAAATACGTAATGCAATGCGTGTTTTAAAGATCGCGAGTAAAAACAAAAGAAGCAGAAAACCTTACAGCTGCATGAGTCGTGACTGTCACGTTAGCCTGATGGCACCAAACTCCCTTTGCGATTTTAAAACGTAAGACAGTACCCAGATCTGAAGACTACAGTAAGATTTAACTTCTACTGTTAATAAGATTTTGGTAGGCTACTATTAGATGTATAGCCTAAATGTTCTAATTCAGATGGGCTACCTGTTTTTTTTTTTTAATGGTATATCAAAAAGTGTATATTTTTTAAATGTGATTGTTGTTACATTTTACCAGTTTTTACCATACTTTCAAAACAAAAATTTAAATAGGAAAAATATGCAATATGAAAATAATTGAAGACAAAATGTGTTTTACTGAGAAAAAACAAGATTTGGTTTTTAAAAGGCCTTTTTCCAAAAGGTACATCTGGTTGTCTTATAATCAGGGTCGTCTTATATTTAGGTCAATACGGTAATAGTTTCCGATTTCTTAAAGGGACAGTTAACCCAAAAATGATCATTGTCATTTTTCCACCCTCATCTAATTCCAAACCTGTACGAGTTTCTTCTGTGCAAAAAAAATAAATAATTAAATAAAAGGAACATCTTTTCTGAGAAACGCCTGTTTTTTTTTTTTTTTTGTCCATACAATGGAAGTCAATGGTAACTAAAAACAGTTTGGTTATCAACATTCTTCAAAATATCTTTTAATAGAAGAGAGTTGGTCATACGAGTTTGGAAGGTACAAGAGGATGACCAAATGAAAGAATTGACATTTTTGGGGTGAACACTGATCATTGTAAGAATTATTATTTTTCTATTCCATCTACTTGTTTTCTTTGTGTGTGTGTGTGTGTGTGTACATGTGAGTGAGTGAGTGTGTGAGTGAGTGTGTGTGTACATGTGAGTGAGTGAGTGAGTGAGTGTGTGAGTGAGTGAGTGAGTGAGTGAGAGAGTGTGTACATGTGGGTGAGTGAGTGAGTGTGTGTGTGTGTACATGTGAGTGAGTGAGTGAGTGAGTGTGTACATGTGAGTGAGTGAGTGAGTGAGTGTGTACATGTGAGTGAGTGAGTGAGTGAGTGTGTACATGTGAGTGAGTGAGTGAGTGAGTGTGTACATGTGAGTGAGTGAGTGAGTGAGTGTGTACATGTGAGTGAGTGAGTGAGTGAGTGTGTACATGTGAGTGAGTGAGTGAGTGAGTGTGTACATGTGAGTGAGTGAGTGAGTGAGTGTGTACATGTGAGTGAGTGAGTGAGTGAGTGTGTACATGTGAGTGAGTGAGTGAGTGAGTGTGTGTGTGTGTACATGTGAGTGTGTGTGTGTGTGTGTGTGTACTTGTTTATGCTACATTGAGGGGACCAAATTTCCCCACAAGGATAGTAAAACCTAAAATTTTTGACATTGTGGCCTGCGGTCCCCACGAGGGAAAAAAATGATTAAAAATAGTAAATGATGTTTATCTGAAAGTGTTATTTCGTGTTAAACAGGTTGTTTTTGAAAGTCGGTGCTTGAAATAAAAGCTTTTCATTTCACTGATTTTTATTGATGACTGCAGTGTTAATATTTTAATTATAGGACTATAATTAAACATTTTAATTGAGGAGTAAATAGTCTGATCTTTTGTTGTCCTCGCAGTGCGTCAGTTTTGCGGTAATTATTGCGGGGCAAATTAATTGTACTTTTAATTTAATAATAAAAGTAACTTCATGAATAATAATAGGCCTAATAAAAATAAGAATGTAACATTGTCTTTGGGTCGTTATGTTTCTCACAGATTTCTGCTCGTTCTAAATCAGACACAGATAAAGTAGCACAGTAAAGTGAGCGATTGCGTGTGAGAATTAATTCTAGCTGGCAGTGTCTCTCTACTAGTAGTGAAGCTGTGGAATTTAGTTAAGAAATATATGCTTGAACTTTTCAGTTTCTAAGTTATTTTATTGAGAAATCACAGAACAGTGTTGACAATACATTTCCGCGCTGAATGATTCTGTGCACCTGATGTACGTGCTACTGTCTGTAGCTGTGTGTGCGTTACAGTGCAGCAGCGCATTAGATTAGAACGGCGATTAACTTACCTGTGCAAAAAGCTGTTTAAAACGTGCATTCTCCCGTTCAATGTCGAGCATCCAGTAATATAATCACACATGTCTTGTGAAGCGCTTTCAGAGTATGCATTTATTTGTCACTTTAACTGTTTGGAAACTGAGCGTAAATGTGGAAGTCTTTCAAAGATTTCTTATCCTGTTGCGCCCTCTATAGGACCAGCGACTAGTCGACGTCAAGCTTAAAGCGTCATGCCAGAGCACTGAAGTCGACTAGTCGGTGCAACCCGTAATATATATATACAGTATATATATAAACTTGCTACGTGTACTGCGTTGGGCTAACCGAGACTTGTTATAGCACTTGCATTTTATTGCTCTTTTGATTGCTTCTATTGTCCTTCTATTTGTAAGTCGCTTTGGATAAAAGCGTCTGCTAAATGATTAAATTACTAAACGTAAATGTAATGAACTGTCCCTGTAAGTTCTTTCGATCATCAGCTGGGTCAGTTGAGACGTGGAACTCACTCTTTGCTCTCGTGAGCGTTGGTCTGCGGCACTGGCTCGGTCAGCTTCATCTCAAACTCGTTGCAGCGCAGAGGCACCTGCTGGTAATGTGTGATGAGCGCGAACAGCGTGTCGAACACCAGGTTATCCGTCAGGTAGAACTTGGGGTTGCCGGCCTCCTGCCGAGAGTGAATTCTGCAGTGCTGAACCCGACCGGACCGCCTGTCCAGAGGAAACCCACACCGCTCTTAACTCACAGCTGCTTCACGCTTTCAGTTGGGAGTAGTAGTATATTTTCATTTAATGCCATGTCAGCATCTTAGGCTTTTTTTTAATGGCAAAAACAATTCACCAATACAAGTATAACAAATACAATAAAAACCAGCAAACAAACAAACACAAGTTATATTACACAAGATTTTTACTAGTGCTGTCAAACGATTAATCGCGATTAATCACATCTAAAATACAAGTTTTTGTTTACATAATATATGTGTGTGTACTGTGTATATTTATAATATCAATTATATGAATATAAATATATACATGTAAATATTTTCAAAATATATACTGTATGTGTGGGTATTAATATATAAATAATAAATATACACAGTACGCAAACATGTATATTATGTAAACAAACACTTTTTTGGATGCGATTAATTGTTTGAAAGCACTATATTTTTACATTAACATGATAAAAATTCTAAAACTTTTTCTGGCAAAATTATAATAAATAACTCTTTGAGTTCACTTCATAAAAGAGTTTTCCACATACATTAAAAGCGGGACAGTCCGATAAAATGTGTTTGACAGAAAGGGGAATCATTCAGAACATGCTTTGAGTAGGGTCTTCACCTTTAAGCAAAAATGCACGAGTCAGTCTTGTATGACCTCTGCGACATCTGGTGAATACCACTTGATCAAATCTTAAGTTTGTTTGTTTGTTTGTTTGTGTTTAACGCCATTCCAGCTTCTGTGGCTATTTTCATGGCGAGAAATATTATGGCTGAATTGTATGTGACCATGGACCACAAATCCAGTCATAAGGGTCAATTTCTAGAAATTGAGATTTATACATCATCTGAAAGCTGAATAAATAAGCTTTCCATTGATGTATGGCTTGTTAGGATAATATTTGGCCGAGATGCAACTATTTGAAAATCTGGAATCTGAGGGTGCAAAAAAAATCTAAATATTGAGAAAATCCCCTTTAAAGTTGTCCAAATGAAGTTCTTAGTAATGCATATTACTAATCAAAAATTAAGTTTTTATATATTTACAGTAGTAAATTTACAGAATATCTTCATGGAACATGATCTTTACTTAATATCCTAGTGATTTTTGGCATAAAAGAAAAATCGATCATTTTGACCCATACAATGTATTGTTGGCTGTTGCTACAAATATCCCCCAGCGACTTAAGACTGGTTTTGTGCTGCAGGGTCACATATCATGTTTTTATAATTTATTTTTGCTAAAAACTCCAATACTGTATTTGGCTTAACTCTGTTAAAAGAGTTTCTAGTTTTAAGAGAGATTAAAAATCTGTTTGAAAGGTCTGGATTGACGCTCTCCAGGTGGAGGAGGGGAGGTTACCAGAAGGAGAGAGTGTAGTCTCCCACGAAGGTCTCGCTCTCCCGCACCAGGAACGAGCCGTCGGGCGCGCCGGTCTCCAGGCAGTACTCCGACAGCAGACGCTCCGCGATCTGACGCCCATCACGCCCCGCTCCCAGCTTCCCGTGAAACCACTTCTCCGTCACATGCTGGTCCATGCTGTTAATGATCTAGAGGTGCAATCAGTTGGAATCAGCTTCCAGAAGAGATCAGATGTGCTAAAACATTAGTCACATTTAAAGGCGACATATCATGAAAAATTTACTTTTCCAGGTTTTAAGTGCTATAATCAGGTCCCTGGTGCATCTACCAAACAAGGAAACGTGAAAAAGATTAACCCAGTAACTTTGGTTAGGTAAGCCTTTTTCTGCAAGCTTCTGAAGAAACGAGCGCGTCTGATTTCGCTCCCTTGGTGACGTGGCAAAGGGATCTCATTATAATATTACCGCCCCTTAATCTTATTGTGTTTTCACAAGCGACAACGGCGTACTAGTTCTAATGCAATGGCGAAAGTTTGAGCTAAACACGCTAACTGTTCTGTCTTTGTCTGCACAGACGAGCACAGAACACTGTTTAGAGTCCCAGCGTCAGAGGAGATGAGAGAAGTGCATTTATTGATTTATTTACTGTATATTGCTGCTGCCATACAGATCTAAAATAAACATGCGATTTATTTCCCAGCTGCTTACCTTCACAGACATAACCGACTGTTTTTGTAACTCGTGTGTGTGTGTTTTTAACGTAAACTTGTGTGTGAATGAGAACTTAGTTTAGTACTCATGCTGTGACAGCCGCTTTCTGTGCGTGTGCTTCAGATGTGTGCTCTCAGAAAACCGTGTATCAGAAGTTTAAACTCATATAGTTTAAAACGCATGATTTCAGCGCGATAAACATGATAATCAGAACCAAAACATGACTTTTCCAGGTTTTAAATGCAATAATCAGGTCCCCGGTGCATCTACCAGCCAAGGAAACGTGAAAAAGATTAACCCAGTAACTTTGTTTTGGTAAGCCTTTTTCTGCAAGCCTCTGAAAAAACGAGCGTGTCTGATTTCGCTCCCCTAGTGACGTTGCAAAGGGATCTCATTATAATATTACCGCCCCTTAATCTGTAAGTTTCCACCCATGGCTCCATCATTTTGATTTTGCAATGCTAACTGTTTTGTCTTTGGCTGCACAGACGAGCACAGAACACTGTTTAGAGTCCCAGCGTCAGAGGAGATGAGAGAAGTGCATTTATTGATTTATTTACTGTATATTGCTGCCGCCACACAGATCTCAAATAAACATGCGATTTATTTCCCAGCTGCTTACCTTCACAGACATAACCCACTGTTTTTGTAACTTGTGTGTGTGTTTAAAGTAAACTTGTGTGTGAATGAGAGCTTAGTTTAGTACTCATGCTGTGACAGCCGCTTTCTGTGCGTGTGCTTCAGATGTGTGCTCTCAGAAAACCGTGTATCAGAAGTTTAAACTCATATAGTTTAAAACGCATGATTTCAGCGCGATAAACATGATAATCAGAACCAAAACA